CGAAATGTGTCTCCTCCCTGCACTGCTCATGTAGTAACTTGATGCTTCCTCCAACCTTTTCCAAGCCCCTAAAGGCAGAAGAATTTGTAATGCTGCACTCCAAGACCATAAGGGGGTGGGAGACTTCCTTAATGCCCTCTTACAGCAAGGGAGTTTAAACCCACACTTTCTTCTATGCAAATATCCATCCCCATTAAAATAGAAAATGAGCTCTATATCTCTTGTGGAAGCTCTTTACTGATCTAAAGACAGCAAAAGACATAGAGATAAGAGCATTAATTTAAAAGAAAGGAGTTTACTTTCTATTCCAAGTACTGTTTGTTCGTTAAAAGCAGCCTTTTGGGGGAAAAAAAAAATCTGCAATACTCTTCTGAGCTACAGTTTGGCAGGTACTCCTTCCTGTTCAGGGTGCAGGCTACATTAATACTTTTGACCTATGTTGTGGAGGTCTTACATGTACTGGCTGCCATCGATTCATACAGCCACCAGTGCTACATTGCTGCACAGGTCACAGAATGGCCTGGGCTGGAAGGGTCCTCAAGGATCATGAATCTCCAACCCTCCTGCCACAGGCAGGGCTGCCAACCTCCACATTTAATACTAGACCAGGCTGCCCAGGGCCCCATCCAACCTGGCCTTGAACACCTCCAGGGACGGGGCATCCACAACCTCTCTGGGCAGCCTGTTCCAGCACCTCACCCCTCTCTTGGTAAAGAACTTCCTCCTGACATCCAACCTGAATCTCCCCTCCCTCAAATTAAAACCATTTCCCCTTGTTCTGCAGTTATCAACCCTTTCAAAGAGTTGATTCCCCTCCTGTTTTCAGGCTCCCTTTAGGTACTGAAAGGCTGCAATGAGGTCACCTTGCAGCCTTCTTTTCTCCACGCTGAACAAGCCCAGCTCCCTCAGCCTGCCTTCATAGGGGAGGTGCTCCAGTCCCCTGATCATCTTTGTGGCCCTCCTCTGGACCCTCTCCAACATCTCCCTGTCTTTTTTGTACTGGGGGCTCCAGACCTGGACACAGTACTCCAAATGGGGCCTCACAAGATCCGAGAGGGACAATCACCTCCCTGTCCCTCTGGCCACTCCTTTTCTGATGGAGCCCAGGATACCATTTGCTTTCTGAGCTACAAAAGCACACTGCTGGCTCACGTTAAATTTTTCATGCACCAAGACCCCCAGGTCCCTCTCTTGCAGGGCTGCTCTCAAGGAATGTTCCTTCCAGTCTGTATGGATGCCTGGGATTCCTCCAGCCCAAGTGCAAAACCTTGCACTTTGTTGTGTCGAACCTCCCTAGATTCACCCAGGCCCACCTTTCCAGCCTGTCGAGGTCCCTCTGAATGGCATCTCTTCCTTCCACCGTGTCAACCACACCACTCAGCTTGGTGTCGTCAGCAAACTTGCTGAGAGTGCACTCGATTCCACCACTGATGTTACTGATGAAGATGTTAAAGAGCACCAGTCCCAAGACAGACCCCTGGGGGACACCGCTCGTTACTGTCCTCCATCTGGACACAGAACCATTAATTACCACCCTCTGTCTGCATCCTTTCAACCAATTTCTTATTCATCGAGTGGCCCACCCATCAAATCCACATCCCTCCAATTTGGAGAGAAGGTTGTGGTGGGGGACCATGTCAAAGGCCTTGCTCAAGTCCACTGGTTGCCTTTCCCTTGTCCACCAATGCCATCGCTCCATTACAGAAGGCCACAAGATTGGTCAAACGTGACCTTCCCATGGTGAAGCCGTGCTGGCTGTCTCGGATCACATGCTCATTCCTCATGTGATCAAGCATGTCATCCAGGATGATCTGTTCCATGATCTTCCCAGGCACAGATGTGAGACTCACCAGTCTCTAGTTCCCCAGGTCCTCCTTGCTCCCTTTCTTATGTGTGGGAGTGACGTGACCCTTCCTCCAATCATCCAGGACCTCACCTGACAGCCACAACTTTTCAAATATGATGGAAAGCAGCTTGGCAACCACCTCTGCCAGCTCCTTCAGGACCCTGGGATGCACACCATCCAGCCCCATAAACCTGTACACATTCAATCCCATGAGGTGATCTCAGACCTGCTCTGCTCTTACAGTGGGGGGGGGGGGATTTACTGCCCCCGTCCCCACCTAGAGATTTAAGGATGCAGGGCTCAGGGACGTGAGAAATACTAGAATCATGGCTGCCAGTGAAGACCAAGGCAAAGAACTCATCCAGTACCTCAGCCTTCTCTTTGTCCATTGAAGCCAGTTATGCTTTTACATTTACCAAAGGAGGTACACTCACTTTGGCCTGTCTCTTCTGGCCAATGCATCTGTACAATGTCTTCATACTGTTTTTCACATCCCTCACTAAGTTCAGTTCTGCCTGTGCCTTGGCTTTCCTGATCCCATGTCTGCAAGTCTGGATGGCATCCCTGTTTTCTTCCCAGGTGACGCCCTTGTTTCCAGAGCTTGTATACATCTTTCTTTGCCCTCAATGTGCCCAGCAGGTCCTTGCTGAGCCATGCCAGCTTCCTGCCTCCTCTGCCTGCCTTGCTATTCAGAGAGACAGAGATCTCTTGTGATCTCAGAAAAGCATCTTTGAAGAGTAGCCAGCTTTCCTCTTTGTCTTTAAGGACAGCATCCCAAGAGATCTTTCCTGACAATTCCTTAACATTTTAAAGTTCACTCTTTCCAAGTTCAGGATCCTGACTCCCGTCTGCTAGGCCCACATTCAAGATCACGCACTCAACCAGGGCATGATCACTGCAGCCCACGCTGTCGCCAGCCTTAATACTTTGAATGATCTCCTCCACACTGGTGAGCACCAGGTCCAGCAACGCTTCTCCCTCTGGTCAGTCTGTCCAATATCTGAACCAGAAGGTTATCATCAATGGATTCCAGGAGCCTCCTGGATCTCTTGCAGCTCTCTGTCCAGCACCTCTTCCAACAGATATCCAGATGGTTGAATTCCCCCACCAGGATGAGAGCCTGTGAGCACAATACCCCCAAGCAGTCTCCCTTGGATCAGGTGGCCTGTAGTATACCCCTATCACCAGCTGGTCTTTATATCAGTCCTATCACTAATTCTAACCCACAGGCTCAACCTGTTCCTGACTGTTGCTCAGAAAGAGCTCCTCACATTCTATCCACTCTGACATGGAGGGCAACTCCCCCACTGTTCCTACCTTGCCTCTCCTTTCTAAAGAGACGATACCCCTCAGTGGTGGTATTCCAGTTATCAGAGTCGTCCCACCATGTTTCCATGATAGCAACAAAGTCATAAGTTTCCAAGTGCATTAGTTTCCAACTTCCCCTGCTTATTTCCCAGGCTGTGTGCATGGGTATAAAGGCACTTCAGCGGGGCTTTGTCTCACCACTTTTCTAGAGGATCTAGGGTCCCCTAGAACAGCAGCATCCCACTGCCCTACTCCATTGTTTTGTACTCCACCCTCTGCTCAACCCCAGTGGCCCTTATTTTATCCCCATTCCCCTTTGTATGTAGTTTGAAGACCTTTCAGTCCTGCCAGTTCCTTAATTAGAATCCTCTTACCCCTTGGAGACAGGCTACTTCCATCTGCAGTCATCATGCCAGGTGCCCAGTAAATTGTCTCATGGTCAAAAAAACAAACAAAATTCCTGTTTTTGCACCAACCTCTAAGCCATTTATTTATGAGGTGAGTTTTTCTGATCCTCTCAGTATCCTTCTCCACTACTGAAGTTAAGAAGAAAAAAACACCTGCATGACTGTTCCATCAACTATCCACCCCACTCCCCTTAAGACTTTTTTCTCAGCATCATATCTACAACCTCAACTTGGTTTCAGATGGAAAAACTAAGCACTTCTTGTGAACCACAGATGTAGAGCAAGATATAACAGATCCAAATAAACCCTAGAGTCTGTCTGAAACTGCAATTCAGTATTTCATTTTTTCCTCCTTGAATGTATATTTCCTTTCTCTACTCCTAAAAGACATAATAAACAGGCCAATTTGAGCTGCTAGTATATACTTTCATTAGCAGCAAGTCTGAGAGCAGTAGTACACGCTGCTACCACTGCCAGATGCTTGTCTATACTTCAGGCAGGATAAATTTCACTTCAGGCTCTTCAGTTACAGCTTACACTGTGAGGGAGTTACATAATGTAGATCAGACTTAAATCCTTACTCAAAAATTTCCCTTCATCGTGTCCCAAGTTCTCAGCTATTTGCACATATACTTCCTTCTGTATCATGTCAATTATTTGATGTTCAAACTGGCTCTGGAGGAAGCTGAGTTTTCTTCCAAAGTCAAATAGATAGTACTTCACTGATTTCAATTTCAAGAGGAGCCACGGACTGGACTAACGAGTTCTGCAGGTTGCCTCTGCCAGATCTCAGTGTGAGGAAGCCTGCACAACAGCCACCCACTATGGGACAGACTCCACCTCACTAGATCAGTTCCTCTGATACATAATCTACAGGATAAAAGGAAAACACAGGCTAAAAACCTGAAGCACATGCAGATAAACAGTTTCTGAATGAAACACTTTAAGAAAAAAAAAAAAAAAAAAACACTCAATTTTTTTACTTGAGTTTTCAGTCAGCAAGGAACAGCTTTCTGCCCATGCTTATTTCACCAGTTCTGAATTTTTACACTACTGGAATTCTTGCCATATTACAAATATCCCTACTGAAAATTTTCCCTTTTGTTTACCCCTAAATTTCTTCCATTCAGCAGTCCAGGCAGACATCCTTAACAAAAACATCTAATAAAGAAGAAATTACAGAGCATACTATTTTATTCTAATTTATACAATTCTAACACATGGTACTTTATTCTTTTCCAAGGGGACTACTTGATACAGAAATAAAACAGCACCTATCTTCTTCAAGTGTATTCAAGTAAATATTTTTGTAGGTAAACTTTTGCACTGCAAATTAAGATACAACTGCAGAAGAAAAGGGAAAATAGTTTCAAAATACTATTTTCAGTGAAATCCAAGTTGCACTGCTCATTCATGAACTACTGAAATAAAGACAACCGTTCTTTAATACTGTTTAATACTGTTAACAAAACAGTGTTGCCAAAAGGTCCAAATGCTGTTTAAGTGAACCTTTCACTTTAATTAGTTTAATAGCCCAGAGGGCACAATCATGTATTGTGATGAAGCTACAATGAATATGGCTTTCCTATGCTGATAACATCATTCAAGTTTCACACAGGCAATCTGACAACTAAGCGGGTTACAGTCCTGCAGATATATCGAGTAATACATCTTTGCACACACAGATTACATATAAAGTTATTGCCAAAGTAAGATCTCGTTCCATTATGTATCTTATATAGGACAATTAGGACATACCTGTGCTGCATTATGAAATAACTACCCAAATTAAGTAGACATTTCACTTAATAGCACTAAACTTGCAGGCAGCCTCTCTCAAACACATCTAATAATATCTAACTCAGATTTGAGTTCATACTGACTAAGAATGCATTATAGTATTCATATAATAAACAGGATGAAGCTAAATACTGATCAATACAAAGATTTTCTGTACCTTTTCACAGAAGCTGAACTGCAGTGCTGGAATGATAATCTGCTGTTGTCATAGATCATTCAGTCATCAGCAAAATTACACCAAAAGACTTACATAAAATTCACAGTCAAGATGATAGAGGAAGTTTTTCCAACAGTACTAATTTTGGTTTTAAGTTTAAAGTAAAAGGAGGTAGTGCAGTAAGGTTCAACCCAATTTTACTGATGCCAGGTATATTTGCCAGCGGCCTGTGGGTTGTCTTGTAATGTGATATCTGAAGAGGGTTTGTTTCCATCAGTATGTGTGTATAAGAAAACATCAGCTGGTCTCCTGGTTTAACATCTTCTCTTTTGTCATACCTGTAGAGAACACACAAGCTTTAGTTACATTCCTCTCTACACATCACAAGGCAGATACTCTCCAAGATGAAACAAAACAAACAAATGCAAAACACTCTCAGTTATATGCCTGCTTTAAAATTATATGGAGAACAAAACGTTATTTTTTGAAGAGGCTAGAGAGCTAGTCATCCCATGCAAATCTTTCTGCTACTACTATCATCTAATTTAAGACTTGCAGAAAATTTCTTATGTAGTCCTCTCAGTTCTGTGGAAAAAGCACAAAGCCAATGACTACAGAGAATGACAGGCAGTCTGAGCATTATCTACAAAAATTGTTGTTTGGATAACAGTCTTGCCTTTTCCTTTTGAAATTAAGAAAATCTGTTATGAAGCATTTCATCAGAAATCTTTCTTTCCTGGTAGTGAAATGTTCAAGTATGAGCCCCAGAAAACAGCAGGGAAAACACTGCACTGAACACCACAGGAAAGAAAGAACAGCTTGGAAACTGAAGTGTTAACCTGGCACTTGTTCAATTTCCTGATCTACAGCATGTTTGGGCAGCTGACTTAAGGTCAGCTTTTATATACCTGTTAATGAATACTAAATACACGTTATTATCTCTACATAATACATATATAAAAGGCAACTAAGTTTCAAAAGTACTTAACATGTCCACTTACAGTTATTTGTTAAGAAGGCTTACGTTCAATCTATCTGCAGAGGGAATTTAAGAGATGAAAAACCAAATGGCTGAAGTATTTGACAGGGATATTGAAGATTTAGGTGTACATTCTCTGTCTGATCTGAGCCCAGAACTGAACACTTGAGTTCAGATCATCCCTCACATGTCACAGAGATGCATAAACCTAATTTTCTAGACTATGAGGTATCTTGCTTAGTGTCTCGTGAAGATGCTGTCTTCACTGAAGAGAAGAAGGTGAACTTCGTAGCCCAAGGGTTAGGATGCTCATATTGGATGTGACATCCTAATTGAGTCCTCAATCCAACAACTTCACAAGGGGAAGGACAAGTTGAGTGCAGCCCTCAATATTCCACAGACCACTGTTTCCTGTACTTCTGAAAGGCGAAGACCTGGCTTTAATTCTTTGTTCCATATTCCAAAAAAATATCCCACACTTACTAATGATGGAAAACAGTACAGAAGATAGAGGTTAAAAGCAAAGTTACTTACCTTTAGTTCGTTTAGGACAGAACAGTCATAAGTATCTAACCATAACAAGAGTATTAAAAAAAATAATCTGTAAGCCAACTGAAGAGTGATGCAGCTCTTCACTCTTTCTGTTGCCCTCTTCTGCAAGCTATTCTCCACCAGCTTTTGTAACTTAGGCACCTGATTCCTCCCCACACGTTTCACAATTAACTTACTCAAGTCTGTGGCTGTTGTTACTGAAGTGAACACCAGTACTGAAGTTGTGCAATCCCAAGCCTGCAACTACTCTTGCATGTACCTATGAGCATCCTTTACCATGTGTAGCTTTGCAGACCTGGCTTCTCATCTCCCTGAATTCTCTGTGGAAAACTGGAAGCAATAATCTCACATATTTCCAACAAAGTCACTAACATTTAAGATATGTGAAGCAACAGACACTCTACAGCAAACTAAAGGATTTGTGTGCATGGTTAACCAAATACAGGACCAGATCTTGCATTACAAGTGTTCTAAAACAAACAAACAAAAAAAAGCACACTCTAATTTCAATTGCTATTGCCAGAAAGATCATTTAGGATGCCATGTAGGATGATAGATGTGTTAAAACTGGCAGAAAGAATGATATACTTTGTAATAGGCTTTACCAACTACTAGTTTTGCATTTTCCTCATCAGCAAATAAAAGGCCTTTCATCTGGCTGCAAGCAGTTTTGAATTTTATTATTTTTAAATACTTGAAGCTTACACAGCATATTTATTCCTGGTTCAAAGAGACTACATAATTGAAGACAAGACTGTAACACCTGCCTTGTGTAAGAATCTGCACCGAGCTTATTTCAGTGAACCTTTGAAGAAAAATAATGGATCACCTGCATTTTTCTTGAGGCACATAGATTTAATCTAAGCACACCACTGAAAGCTGTTAACTTCTAAGAGACTTTCATTTGTAGATTGTAGTTTTCCTGAAGAATCATCAGTCCTCATAGCTGCGCCACCCATAAATCTATCTGTGAAGATGGTAGGTTAGTTTTCACCCATCTGTCACATTCTTAAATAAAGAGAAAACAGACAGCTGATGACACTAAACTCTGCACTATTGTGCTGTCAGACAACAGAGTAGCCCTTTGTATGTGAAACTTTATAACGAACCAGCCCTCCCTTAAGACTTTTTATGATAAGGAAAGATAAAAGTGATAGAGACCCTACAGCTCCAACACTATGAACCATCCATCAGTGACAGGGATATTATTCATGCACTTTCCAATCCCACTACACCACAAAAACCTCAATCAAATGACAAGAAATATCCAAACAAACTCTATCATCTAAAAAAGGCCAACAAACTTAAGCACTGTATTTGGAAAGTTTTGTTTATCCAATACATTTAAGAGTAGTTTAAATAAGTATTTATGTATCTTCAAAAAACAAAGATTGGAGCATTTTAGTTATCATGTGTGTTCTATCACTTGTAATAATAGAGTAATGTCTCCCCCTAACTACTCATGTATTAAAACCCTCTCTACATAGAAGATGCAAAAAAAATAATTCTGAACAGTGGATTGGTAAATATGACAGAAATTCTGCCTTTAACTGTCAATATCATCATGATACTACAGAAGAGCACAGAGAAAAGAAAAAAAGGCAATACAGCAATTCCTGCAGCTCGCCCTGGAAGCATACTATTCCCTTCTTTTTCTCTATTCCAAATTTTTTTCTCAAACAATGCAGTAAATTAATTATGTTTCTTCATTTTATCCTGAACAGCTCAAGTTGGGAAAAACAACTCTAATTCAGACTTAAACTAAAACCAAAACCTGTTTGTGCAAGGATAAAGTAAGGTTTTTCATTAAGATTACATTTTAAATTAGAAATCCTGACTTCAGTTGACAAGGTAGGCCTTGAATCATAGAGATGCCCTTTTTTTGCATCAACCTGAAAAGCAAGCAACAGCACCCCACAGATATCCTCTACTATTTTTGTTTAGATACTATGATTCTTAATACACTGTGTATTCTGCTCATGGTAACAAAGCTCTCAAAACTGTTATCTACCAGAGAATGAATATGACTAACAGTCTATGTGACAGCAGCTTTAACATCATCTATCTGAAAGATGTTTCACATAAAAAGACTTTAAATATTAATATGTAGATAAGCTGCACTTTGCAACACAGCATTTAAAAAAACAGATAAAATAAGATTCCCCCCAATTATTATATTACTATTAATTTATTTTATTAATAAATGTATTACGTTCTACCAAGAACAGAAAGATGTTCGTCTACAACTGTGTCTTATAAAACCTAGTGAAATAGCAAATGTAGCTCTTTTAAGGATATCAGTGCCTTAGCAAAATAACTTCTGTGCTGTCCTTTTATTTCTCACGTATTTAAAGATTATATGGCATTTAAGCAAAACAGAACTAACCAAAACAGTGTTCTGTTTCTAAATTGGCAGCACTTCACATACCCAAATTCCCTGAAGATTCATATATACATGTGTATAAAAATTAAGTATCAGGTGCTTATTTTATGAATGATTATATATATATATATATTTATATAAGTTATATATATATATAAAATAAATATAATATATATAAATACATATATATATTCCTTTTAAAATCTGAACATACCTCCAATCTGAATTGATTTCTAGAAACCGAGAGACTCCTGTTTGTGCTGCAGCTACATCAATATGAACAGAGACCTCTGCAGAAACAAAGTTTCAAAATTACTATAAGGTCACCAATAGTAACTGAAAAGATACACGAAAACAACATGAAGAAGCAATATTCAATACATGTAAAAATGTACTAATAGCAAAAAATTACAACTGAGTTAGACAAACATACCTCAAAAGCAGCTTGACATACCTGCTGTTGAAGGTACCAACTCATGCAACTTCTGAATTGCTACTCCTCCAGGATAATTGAAATGTGAAACATACAGAGAAGTTCCAGAATAAGCAGCATTAACTAGAAGATGCATTACAACAAAAAAAGATCCAATTTTGTACAGCCAGGATTTCCGGTAGTTATTCAGTCTATTGAGAGGGGAAAAAAGAGAAAGACTAAACTGTTATATTTGTTTCCTAATGGTCATTGATTACTGTGTTCTTTCACAAACAAAAAAAAAACCCCGTTAGATAATAAAGAACAGTGCAAACTTAATTACAATCACGTAAGAAATGCATTCATTATTACTAGGAGACTAAATTATAGCAACAAACACTTAAATTTGAATATCCTTATTAAGAAAATTGATTAAGGTCTATCATTACAGATAAGTATTTCTGCATTCAAAACTCAGCTATGGATATACTCTATTTCAGATAAGTTCAGAATTCAACTTAAATGTGTTTACTCAAGATACTCAAGTGCAGTCATTTAATACAAACTCCAAGTTTCATGAGTATATATGGCAATATATGGTTCCACCTGTGTATTAAACAATTTCCTGAGGAAACTTATGTTAACAACACACTAGTAACTTCTTCTCTAGCGGATAAACTGAATTGCAATAGCATGATGCTACTGCAATTCAGAACTCTAGATCACAACTCCATTTTTGCCTCTGCCACAGACTTATCAAATTACTGCTTCAAATCCTATCACTTTTGTCTCCATTTCTCTCACTAGAAGAATAGGCAGAATGATACAGACGTTCTTTCTAGAGCTTCTCTAGACCTTAATATAATCACGATTCCAAGAGAGAAAGAATTGTATCAGAACAGTAACACATTCTCCTTCTTCTTACATTTCAAAAAGGAAAAAAAAAAAAAAAAAAAAAAGAAGGAAAAAGCAATCTCAAACTTACATTCGTGAGCACACTTTAGCAGCTACTATGTTGAAGACGGGGAAAGTGTACATGATAAAGCGCAACTCTTTGTGTGGGAGGAATGAATACAAGAAAATAAAGCCCAGTGCTGGCAAAAGTAATATCCGAGTTCTCTTTTCTGCTGCACCTAAAGGTACAAATATAATGCTGCATCCCAAAGCACGAGGCAAAGCTGAATAGAAATACCAAAAGAAGGGGGATATCTTCAAGGTGAAAAGCAGAGTTAAGGATGGTTTTACTGCTAATGAGTAACTATTCTTTACAGCAACAGACAAAATTTGCAAATATGCAGTAGAATTTTGTATATCACATTATTCCAGGAATTTGGTTTTCTGCATTACTCTTGAAAAGCAAGAGCAGTTGCCTAACTGCTTTCAAATCATCCAATAAAGGTACATTAATTGTTGTTACTGATAAGGAAAATCACGGGGAAGGAACCTGGATTTATACTGGGACACCACGAAGCAGCAAAAAGAAAAATCAGCAAGGAAAGTTAAAATTTTAAGGAAAGATCTAAGGCACAGACATCGCCTTATAACTTCACATACATTCTGCTTTTCATCAAGTATTTCAGTAACACCAAAACTGAGTCTCAGGAGTAAGTCTTCACTTCAGCTGACAGTGTTACAGCTCTTTTTCCCCGGATGTTTCAAAGGATACTCCCCAGTTGGAACTTTTGTTTAAAATTGTATTATACCAGAGCACTTTCCCTTCAGGCCACACAAGTTGCCTCCAAAATAGAGAGTCCACAGCCACTGTTAGCCCTGAAAGAATTAAATACACATCTGGATGAATTAAAAACTAAGGCAAACCAAACAAGCACATCCACACTGCACATTTACTGATGACAGCAACACAAACTTGATGATAAAGGATGATAACGGATATATTGATAAAGGCAAACAGAAAAGCAGCAAATCCATCAGTCCTATCTCCTCCACTCAGCTCCCCAAGAACCGCTCTGGTATTTATGAATTTTGCCAGTGAGGGAATGGTTGTATCAGTGAAATTCCTGTTGGACCTATGGACTCTGAATGAAGTGCTTCCGAATGCACGTGCAATGATCCTTCACTGTTTCTGCTGCCCACACTGCAGAAAATTAACCATGCTACCAGAGCTCATCACAGGTCATCTGATGATAGAATTTTAACAGTCAGGCTGGCAGAAAAGCTTAGAGTGTTTAAATGCATGTGCATGAGCTGTCCGTGAATAAGTAGAAACAAAATTTTTCAGCCTCTCCAATGTGGAAAATCATAGCTGTTCAAGTTAATGTAATAGAGAGACACAACGGAGAATTTTTTTAAACCTCAAGCATACAAAGTAGAACTGTGACCCTCCACAATCCTCTTGTTCAGTATCCCTGTCTGTCACATTCATTTCATCCTCAGTTTCAGCCTGTCATCATGGCAATAGATAATACAGCTGATAATGTACCTGGAACTGCAGCCTGGTACTAATTATACTGAAGTTAACTTGTACATCTAAGATTTTTCAAGACCAGGACATCATACAGGATATCTGAAGGCAGAGATCACAGTACCTTCCTGGGGCTCTGTGCATACTTATTTCCTTGCACACAAACATACAAAGAAATAAACATGCTTAACATGCTTGTGGTATTACTGGTAAACAGAATGAGACAAAACCAAACCCTAAGGGCCAGGACACTAGAGGAGAAATAAAAAAAAAATTAAAAAAATAAGCAAATCTCTGTATTTCTGCTGAATTTAATATGTGGCTTCTCCTCCCCCCTTCCCCCCCAGCAAATACTTACCCAACCAAAAACATCCAGCAGGAACAGCATGGGAAAGTATCTTTAAAATGGAGATCCTTTTGGTTAAAAACGTCACGAGAAGCATGAGACCTAAGAATATGGCAAGCTCTGATCTGAAGACTATAATTGCCAAAGCTGAGAACCAAATGAATGGCCTCTGCTTTTGTTGTATCCAAAATGTCAATGCCAACAGCACTGTAAAGATAAAATACACTGTCTCATCTATTTGTTTTCTACAGGACAACGCTTTTATTAAGAAAAGCACCCTGTTACTCAAACTTCCCAACCCATCCCATCTCAGTCTTCCCAGGAGTTTTTGTCCAGAAATCCTCCTGTCACAGAAACAGAGCTTGGAAAATCATGTATCATACTATCACTGATGCTTAAGTAACCAGGAAAAGCATACTGCAAAAGGAACATGTGGCAGCTCTTCTGGACTGTGCATCTGATAGCTTTTGACCCCAACCCCTTCAAATTTAAATACTAATTGCCTTTCAAACTAAGACTCATAATTATCATTTCCCACCATCTCCTGAAAAGCTTTTTTTTCCTTAGATTAGTATATCTTGTATTACTGACAACAGCACCCCATTTCAAATATGAAAGAGACTACAGACTACAGGTGAGGGAGAAGGAACTACGAATCCATCTGTAATGTTAGCTGGAGATAAACTATATCTCCACAAAGTTACCTCTACTACTACAGAGTTCAAATCACATCATAACACTGACTACATTGTAAAGTGATCTGGACCCTAAGCAAAATGCAAAAGAACAATACCAACTGATTACATGTGAAATACGAAGAGTAGAAACACTTAAAACAATTTGTATTTTTAATACCCACAGAAATGAGCTGGAAAGTTTACTACTACACAGTGTTTGATGACTCAGTTTTCTTCCTTTTGTTTTTCAGTTCCGATCTATGCAGGTTCCTACATCAAGCCAAACAAATTCCACTGAAGCATTAAGTGACTATACTAATATTTATCATATGTGGTTAATTTTTCCTCTCATCATCTCTGGGGAAAAACCGTGTATGTAGGGTATGATTTTGACATGGATTTTTTTTTCCCCAGTTCTGTACTGTTAGATTTATAGGTGATTCCAGAAAAGTAAGGTGGAGAGCTTGCCGTGAGAGTTATTTCCACAGCCTCATGAGAAAATGGCTTCCTGTGTAGATTAAGTCCTACAGATCTGTGTTTGTTTGTTTGTTTGTTTGTTTTTAAACAGAAAGTATGCCTACTGCTTTTCCAAAACCTGTGTTTTATGCATTAGATAAGTGTACTCAAGTCTCTGAGAAACTCCAACTCATCATGTATTCAGATGTTGTATTAGATTTAACAGTCACTGTAAGCATTTCTGGAAAAAAAAAAACCACCTCAAAACCACTCAAGTTTTCTCATCTTGTTATCACATAGCATAACAGAGCATAAATATTAACTTGGGCTAACCATATTTTTTCTACAGCTTAATTATCCACACATTTGAAAAGAATTTTCACATTTTGAAATTATCCATACGCAAATACTTACCAAAAGGAAGTGCAAATACATTGGGAAGGGTTCGTGTACAGTAAAACATCAAGTGAAACTGAGTAACAGTTATGAGACAGAAGATTGTTGATGTAGTTGCTCCAAACTGCTTTCTAACTTCTTTCTGCAACTTCCATAGTGTGTAAATCACACTGAGCCCCAAGCTTCCTCTGACTATCAGAACAATACAAACACAACATAATCACACTGATCACCAATGAATGTGTAAAGACACAAAGGGAAGAAATTACTAAGAACACAACTGAAGAGCTTACAACGCAAGCCACTTTATAGAAAAGAACCAAACCCTTTCCACGTTAGTTTGTTTTAACTCATCTTTAACTTGCTTGATACTTCTGCGCAGAGGTCAGTGATTCTGTGCCCAAATCAAGCAATATCTTACAAAGTGTAAATGGAAGTATACAATGGAATATATTCTCTGAACACACTTTCTCTAGGTTTTTGCTAAGAAACACTTCCTCTGTGTTGTTAATTACACCCCCCCAAAAAAAGAAGTGGAATTGCCACGCTGGCTCCACATAACTACAGTTTGTAAAATCCCTCATTAGCAAAAATACAACATTTTAACCACTGACTCAAACACTGAATATTACATTACATTAAACCAAGTTTGAATTCAAAGTTCACATACCAATCAGCTGGGAGTAAAACTTGGACATTTTTAACAGGGAAAGTATGTATATGGCTGGGCTGGAAAGAGCAGCAATAAAGATCGGTCCAAGAAACGTTCTTGGGACAACTCCAGGAAATTCATGGTGGTCATACTGCAAAAAGAAAAATTTAAGATAGGCAAATCAGAAACAAAAGAAAATCAAGATAAATTATATTCATATTGCATATTTTCTACTCATATAGAAAGTAATAGCAAGCTTTAACAGTATCCAAAAAAAGAACACCTATTTTGAATTTACCTTATCCAAGTCCAGTTGGTGGTACACAACGTCATGGATAGCCTGTAGGTTAAAGCTTTCCTCCACTTTTGTAAATGGGCAGACAGTTAAATGAACAAAGGCCACAACAATAATCAACAACAATAATGGGAATGATCGCCCACTTGAGCTCCTCTTCTGAGCCATCCTGTGTTCAAAATTCACATATATTCACCTATCAAGACCAGAATTTAAAAGAACATACATTAATAGCATGGTATAGAAATTAATACATTAATAACGAGGTATAGAAACAGAAAAAGAGAGAAATTGGTCAGGGTGATTCTTACAGAAAGAAAAGGTACTACAATACTAAACAAAAAAATAAATAAACTGAATAATCTATAGCTATGGAGTAGATAGACAAAAAGATATTCAGACTACATTTCAGGATTTGTGCCATCTCCAGCAAGTGCAAAGGCTCTCATTTTCAATCTGTAACATTTCAGTTAACACAGACCCTATTTCAAATGCTTCCCTTTGTGCCCCATACTGTCTCTACTGCCAAGAGCACCATCTCAATTATGCCTGTGTTTTATGGAAGAGAGCTCTGTAATTTCTTCTCCCTTTAATCTCACACTGGATTTACACATGATCTTCAGGACATACTATCTCTTTTGTCTGGGACTCTGAAGCTCATGGGAGAGGAAGCCAGAAGATGATTAATTGTTCAGAACAGAGTACTTTGAACTTCTGAGTTTCCTAGCTTGCCAGTGACTAGGTATGGTCTTGGCAAGCAGAAAGGAATCCCCCTTGGCACCCACACCACACATCATTACAGGGTGAGCACTGTCAAAACCCAAACCTTCACACCACTGCGTAGAAGGAAAGGCCATCTGTCCATAGTGCTCTGTTTCACAACACCGTGCTGACCCGTGGCATTACCTGCAAAGTATTTCAGCTGATATCAAGGGCATAAAAAACACAGGTATTTTAATACTAACCTTTAGTAATTTAAAATCATAAACTAGTTTTAAAAAGTTAACTTCCGTTATCATTTCCAGCAGAAATGGTGGTCTAGTTCTACTAATTTAATTTAAGTTTCCCACTTTTCTAGGTTAAATTTCATAAAAGTCGAGGTATTTTGTTAATTGTTATTCTTGTTCTGTTCTCACAGACATGAAACTTGAAAAATGGCACTTTTTAGGTACAATTGGGTTTTTGGTTGGAAATGTTTTCTCCCGTGTTTTGGTCTAAATCTGTCCATCAAACAGATGTCAGACAACTGGCAGATTTATTAGGATCATTCAGCAATTGCCTCCTATAGTCACCTTTTCCTCAATTGATTTGTCCTTCCTAACATTAAAGAGAAACAGATATAATGTCATAAATACTCTTTATTTCCAAACTAACGTCAATTAATCCAGAAAACTATACAATTCCTGCAAATAGCATGCATCTATATTGTGCTATACACACAGATTGCTCTGAAGGTAAAGCTTATTTCCACAAAAACTACAACAGACACAAGAACACAATAACACTAACTGACAGAGCAAATTCTAAGCTACAAACTATCTTTTTTAACATTAACTATGCATTTCTGACAGCAACAAACAAGAGCCTACATGCTATGGTTGTAGAAATCTGCACGAGCAGAGGTGACCTGCTGCCACTGTCACCACTGCTGAAACTCACCAGCCACTGCCTGAGCATGCTCATATCCACTGCTTGGTCCCCATAAACATTCAGCAAGTCTCAATGCATGTCAATGGGTGCCACTTCTTCCACATGGAGGAATTCAGTGACACACCTTTGCTCCGTATGCACTTCCACATCAGACACCATTTTGTCAGACTGCCCCTCTGCTGCCATCTGTCACATGGCAACAGGATGTAACAGAATCTTGATGCAAAGGTTCAACCCCTACTTCCATACCACCAACATCCACCCTGATGTTGTAGACCAATATAATAAATAGGAGGCAGTATGTCCAGAGCAGCCCTCATATATACTCACAATTTTCATTGATGACCTAGATAAGGGCATCGCATGCACCCTCAGTAAGTTTGTGGAGAACACCAAGTTGGCTGGAAGTGTCGATCTGCCTGGGGGTAGCGAGGACCTACAGAGGGATCTGGACAGGCTGGGCTGAAGCCAATGGGATGAGTTTCAACAAGGCCAAATGCCAGGTCCTGCACTTTGGCCACAACAACGCCAGATGACGCTACAGGATTGGGGTGGAGTGGCTGGAAGACTGCATAGAGGAAATGGACCTGGGCGTATTGATTGATGCTCGGCTGGACACGAGCCAGCAGTGTGCCCAGGTGGCCAAGAAGGCCAATGGCATCCTTGCTTGCATTAGAAGCAGTGTTGCCAGCAGGAACAGGGCAGTGATTGTCCCCCTGTACTCAGCACTGGTGAGACTGCACCTCGAGTTCTGTGTTCAGTTTTGGGCCCCTCTCTGCAAGAAAGACACTGAGGCCCTGGAGCGGGTTCAAAGGAGGGCAGCAAAGCTGGTGAGGGGTCTGGAGCACAGGCCTTGTGAGAGTGGCTGAAGGAGCTGGGAATGTTCAGCCTGGAGAAGAGGAGGCTCAGGGGAGACCTTACTGCTCTCTATAACTACCTGAAGGGACGCTGTAGTGAGCTGGGGGTCGGCCTCTTCTCTCGTGTAACTGTGATAGGACTAGAGGGAACGGCTTCAAGCTGTGCCAAGGGAGATTCAGGCTGGATATTAGGAAATACTGCTTCTCTGAAAGAGTGGTCAGGCACTGGAATGGGCTGCCCAGAGAGGTGGTGGAGTCACCGACTCTGGAGGTGTTCAAGGACTGTTTGGATGTTGTGTTGAGGAACAAAGTTTAGTGAGATCTACTGGTGATAGGTTGGACTGGATGGGTCTTTTCCAACCTTGGTGATTCCGATTCAATCCATATATACATGTACATACATATTCCTACACACAATAGGAAAAATTACTAGAAAATAGTACTAGAAATTTTCTATTTTGTGTAATTCCTACTATTACAGACTCTAACAAAAGCTCTGATCTGGGGCTCAAAGGAAGAGTTCTGTGGTAGGTCTTTACAATTTTTGCCTTGTTTTACAATGTAAATAGCCTAAATAAACACATCCCATGAAGTGGAAAGTGTTGTTAACCCATGCCTAGTACTACTTCTTTACTCGGACGGATAAAAATGATTTCTGTCACAGCATAATCCTTTTTCCGCAGCAGCAGTAAATGAGGTATTGGACTACCACTTCAAGAAGTGCTGGATAGGAATTAAGCATCTGTACAGTGCAGTCTACCTTGTATAAACTCTTGCCTCTAGAAAGCTCCCTTGCTGAATTCTTCCATTAAATACAGAGATATGTCATATTTCTGAAAAATCTACCCACAGAAAAATGGACACTGAAGAATGAGGCCATATAGCAGCACAAATGTTTGAACAACTTGTATTTGACACGTATCCCAGCAGCAAGCTGAAATTCCTTCATCCAAACTTTTACAGGATATTACAGCTATTACAGGAGTCAATGAATCCTTGGAAAAGGACTCAAGAGCCAAACAGCTTTATCAGTGAGTGACACTGAAGCTGCATATCCCATATACAGTTTATCACAAAGCTTTCTTTTTTTGTTCTTTTCTAAGATCTTGTAGACTCCAATCCTAGTGCATGCCTGAAGAAAGGAAGCTTTTGCCAGAGCACTCAGATTTTGAAGATAAATGTATGCATTATATGTCCTGAAATTCCCTGAAGGGAAACAAGCTAGGAGATTAAAAACAAAGCATGAAGACAACACCTAGTCTTCTGAGATCAAGTTTAATAAATCTAGTGATCTTGTCAAGTTTCCAGATAACCTGCTCTGTTGAAAATTGATGTTGACAAGCCTCAAAATTCAAGTGCCATTTATCACAACAGGTAGGCAGGGAGGCACTGAATTTGATTCTTAAAATGAATTTGCTATACAAGAGCAAGAATACATGCAATTCACATTTTTATTTTTTACTGCCAAAAACAGGTTTCAATTAAAAAAATCCACTACCTTTTAATAATAAAGGTTAGAGTAATATACTAATCAAATACAGTCTTATTCATCATCAACATTCTAGAAACTTTTGAAGAATCTTCAGAGCCAGATGACATAACATTTACTCCCTCACAGAAATTGAACCTCAGAGAGATTCTCAACAGGAGTTCATCCCTTCCTGGAATTCAATGGGGTGAAAATAATGTTTAAAAAAAAAACATCTGAAAGAAACAAATGTCTCAAACAGTTCTTTCCAAAGTAGCTTATTCTTTTCTTAATATTTCTTTTTTGGAAGCATGAGAAGTTTCAAGAATTCACTTTCCAGCCTTCCCTACTTGGCTCAGTTATGCTTTTTAGACACTCTTCAGGATAAATACATGAAGAGTTTTCAGCCAATCCACACACTGAATCACAGAATCACTAAGGTTATAACAGACCATTAAGATCAACTAGTCCAACAATCAAGCCATTATCACCATGCCCACTAAACCATATCCCCAAGTACCACATCTACATGTTTCTTGAACACCTCTAGAGACAGTGACTCAACCACTTCCATAGGCAGCCTGCTCCAATGCTTCACCACTGTAAGAATTTTTTCCTAATATCTAACCTAAACCTCCCCTAGCACAACTTCGGGCCACTGACTCTGATTCCATCACTACGCAGAAGAGGCCGACTGCCACCTTGCTAGGATCTCCTTTCAAGCAGGACAGGAGAGCAATGAAGTCTCTCCTAAGCCTCCTCTTGGCCAGCCTCAACAATCCCAGTTCTCTCTGCTGTTCTGTGTAAGACTTGTTCTCTAGACCATTCACAGCTTTGTTGCCCTTCTTTGGCACACTCCAGGGCCTCAGCATCTTTCTCAGTGAGCGACCCAAATTGAACACAGCACAACACAAGGTGCAGTCTCACCCAGCACTGAGTACAAAAGGATGACCACCTCCCTGCTCCTGCTGACTGCACTATTTTTGAAGCATACTAGGATGCCATTGGCCTTCTTAGCCACCTGGGCACACTGGTGGCAGACATGCAGCCAGCTGTGAACAACATCCCTAGACCCATTTCTCTGCTGCAGCTTGCCAGCCATTCTGCCCTCAAGCCTGCAGCGACGCATCGGATTGTGCCCAAATTTCTCCAGAGATGGCATTTCACCCCCTCACACACTGCCTGGAAGCATCCAAGCAGAGCCATCAAGAGCATGCCAACTAGCATCCTCCCTTGTTGGCTACTATCTTTGGTACGCTTCAATAGCTTGCCCAACTCCGTTCTAGAGATAACCTCTGAGGTCAGATTTAAGCACTGAAGGTTTTTTGTTTTTTTTTTTAACCCATCATCATTTATAAAAATGAATGTGATAGTTGCTATTTTAAGCTGTATCGCCTCATTAGCTTGGGAACTTATGAAAGTAGAAAAAAAAAGCAACAGGAAATAGAAATCTGAGCCAGGAAACAAAGCCTGGGACAGTACCAGCTACGAAGGAACTATAAAGCTACGTAGAATACACCTACAGGAGAGTGAAAAAGCACTTTCTCCCTTCCATACAACACACTTACAGACGAGATACACGGGACGCTCCCGACCAAACCAATCCTCTCCTTACACATACACCGCCAACCTGGGCTGGTCAACCGGCCCTTAAGGACCAATGGACTCCGCTCCGCGCGGGCACAGCGCCCTCTGGCGGTCGTTTCACGCCGAGCCGCCACCTACCTGGGCAGGGCCGCCAGCCGGGCACGGGTCGGGGACCCTCAGCCGCTCCGCTCCTCCGACTCTCCTCCTCGCTCCCAACGTCAGCTATGGAATCACTGCCAAATGAATCAAGTACGTGACCGCATCTTACGTGCTGTACCCCGCAGGGTATCGTAAGAGATAAGGTAACACCACATTTCCATAGATTAGGAATTGAGGAATCACAACGGCTTAACGCCAGGTTATAGGGCCAGCATTTAGGAGCGCACTGGCCTGTGTACTGACGTACGCGCTGACTTCCCTGATTGCTACAGAGCTATTTTCGGAATAAAGAGCCATCGCCGCAGAGCCGAGCAGCCTCCTGTCGTGGCGCCGAGCCCGACGGAACGGGGTGACCCCAACCCGCGGGGTGCCGCGACCCCAGGGAGCACACCCGCAAGGCCGCTCCTCCCCGTCCCCCACCCCCCGCCAGGCCACGGCAGCGCTCCGCGACGGGAGCCAGAATGCGCCGAGGGGAAACAGAACCCGGGCGTAACGGCTGCGCTAGCGACAACGCTCGCACAGAACGGCCATCCCTGGCGGTGCTCTCAGCCGCAGAGCGCCAGCTCCTGCCCAGCCGGCGCTCCGCACCGAAGGGCTGATGGCTGCAGGGGCGGGATCTCTCGGGGACGCCGGGCGGCAGCAGCTCCCCGCCCGCGCCCTCTCTGCCCCCGTTGCCTCCCGCCTCACCCCTCAAAGAGCCGCCACCGCGTCCCTGTCTCACCTCTACCCCCGGCACCGCGCCCTGTCGCGCTTTGTCCCGTCCCGCCCCGCGCTCACCCGCCGGCTCTCCACGTGGCCGCCCCCCAGAGGGCGCCGGCGGGAGGAGTGAGGAGAATAGCTCCGAGCTCACGTGACCGCCTCCTCGCCGGCCATGTTAGGTGAGGGCAGAGCTCGCCGCCAGCCACCCTAAGCTCCGAGACAGCCGTCAGTAGAAATGGCGGCCGGCTCCGAGCCGAGCACAGCTGCCCGCACTCACGATGGCGGCGGAGCCCAGAGTTACTGTCACCACAGCTCTCCGTCCCGCCCCGCCCGGCAATCTGTGCACGCGGGGGGCTCCGATTGGCCCAGAGCGTGGCGGCCGCTGATTGGACCACGTTCCTCCTCTCCCTCCGCCTCTACCAATGGCCGCTGGGAGCCGGAGCGTGCGTGGGGCTGACGCGGAAATCTGAATGGGGCTCGCGGGCCGGTGTCTCCCTGGTTGCTACGGGGGCCGGGGCGGGGCGAGGCGACGCTGCGGGGCCGCGCTGCGGCGGGCTGGGAGCGCGGCCGGGCCGCCTCGCGCCTTATCCTTATCCTTTTGCGCTGTGCTCGCCATGGGGCCCGGCCTCGCGCCTCGCTCGCCATTGCCCGCGCTGTACGCCGCACTGCTCCTCCTGTTGCTGCTGCTGCCGCCTCCTCCTGCTATGGGCGCCGGCGAGCGGCGGCGTCTGGCGTGCACCACCTGCCGGGGCATCGTGGACAGGTTCAACCAGGTGGGCGGCGGGGCTGCGGGGTGCAGGCCGGACCGCCGCGGAGCTCCTCGTCAGCCCCTGCGGCGATCGAATTGCCGCGCGGCAGCGGCTCTTTCCGCGCTCAGGAGCCGTTGTAGGCGCCAGGTCGGGGCCTGGCCGGGCTCGGGCTCCGCTGCCGGAGCTCAGCCGGTGCTGTAATGCCGGTGTGTCCGTAGGATCTGATGGGTGGGTGGGAACCATCGCCTCTGCTCTTTCATTTGTTGTTGCTTGTCGGTTTTGTGCTTATCGATTTGATCAGCAGCTTTAGAGCTTTGCTGAAGTGTCTGTGACATGTAAGCAGTTACTGCTGCCCTAAACTTTTGTTGGAAATGGAGACTGCTGCTCATATTCTGTTGATTTGCCAGGGGTTAGCAGATACAGCAAAGAAGAATTTTGGTGGTGGAAACACTGCTTGGGAGGAGAAGACACTGTCGAAGTACGAGTCCAGGTGAGTGCCTTGGCACTCTTTTGGTTGGGTTTTCTATCCCTGTGTGTGACTGCTAATCTGGCACTTAAATATCAGAACAAAAGCCTCATGTGTCCAAATCATGAATCCATACTGGCTGAAATACAACAGGTTACAGCAGCATGTCTGCACTTCACCATAAAGACTGACATCCCTTATTTGTAAGTGACTGACAGTGCTTACTTTTATTTCTTTTGAAAAACAAAAAAGGTAATATTGTTTTTGGTCATGGCATTGGTTTGTTTTTTTTTTTTTTTGTTTGTTTACCAAAACAATAGTTTTAAATAATGGTTAGTAGTTAATTGATTGTCCTAAACGGCGTGGACTTTATCTTGGTGTAGTGCCAGTCTTGTTTTACAGTTAGAGCAATAACTGCTCCCTAGAATTCACTGGTTGCTATTTCAGTACCAAGTGGCAAACTGGAAGAGTGACAGGTTACTGCACTGCTTTGTGTATGTGCTTGATCGCAGAGCAAAGCGATCTAGCCTCTTCCAAATTTCAAACTGAGTTTTTAATCTTAATTGGAACACTGATGTGCAAGGGTAGATTGTCTAAACTTTGTAAGCTTGTGTCAGATATTAGCAATATGTGAAAATTACTGTTGAATTTGGTAGAAAAATCTGGTAAACGTGCAGTCTGCAAACATAATAAATGCAATCTTCATAGTTACAGTAAGTGAATTAGGTCTTTATTCTAATATTTACTGTGGCTTCGAGCTAGTTCAGAACACACCTTCAACTGATAAAATATTCTGGGCTGCAGTGTAGCTTCTGTGTTTTGAGTGGTGCTGAATTAAACTGAAATTAAACAGTAGATTAAATTTATGATTTTCCTTCTCGTAGTGAAATTCGTCTTGTAGAGATCACTGAGAATCTCTGTGACAGCAGTAACTTTGAATGTAACAACATGGTAGAAGAGCATGAAGAACATATAGAGAAATGGTGGTTCAAACTGTAAGTATCTTTTTTTTGAGTACAGATCTTTGTGCTGATAAGCAAGGACAAAATAGTAATGCTATATTTTGTGCCTAATTAGTAGGAGTTCGTTAGTTGTAGCACAGAGATGGAAAGTGTGTAAGTCCACTTGTTTCTCCTGACAGTAGTTAGCTATGGAAATTTCGAGAGCTATCATGAAGTGACACTGAACTATATGTTCCAAATTAAATTTATTCAGGGCTGCTAATTGCAGCCACCTCTGAATGGAAGTAGGGTTTTGCTGTACAACAGCAAGGGGAGGAGAAAGCATCTAATTACAATTTGGATGAAAAGAAAATTTCATAGGATTTTTTTTTTTTTTACTTAACAATTAATATTCATTCCTCTATTCAGTGATTATTAATTCATTAAGTTAGTGTTGTTTTTATTACCTTGAGTTCACAAGATGCTAGAACAAGATTTTTCCAGTCCCCAGGTTGTTTTTATCCTTCCATTTAGTATAGGAATACATGTATGTCAGGAAGTGATATCAAATGAATTGTGGAAGGGATCACCCTGTGTGGATTAAGGAGCTGGGCAATTCAGTTAGAGAGTAGCTCATCTACTTCAATTTCCCATTTGCAGGCAAACTGGGTCAGATCAAGTGAAATTCAATAGGGTGAACTACTGTTACACCACTTTATCACTGGATAAGAATTTTTGATAATCCTTTTTGTTCTTAATGATTCTTTTATTGCTTCATACTTGTACTGTGCAGGACTGAGTAGACTTTAAACATGCAAACTGGAGGAAAGCTTTTCAGGGTCTGCGCCTTGGAGTAGAAACGATCAGACATAATAGTTTTTAAAAGCTGTATGTGCCTCAGGAGTAGCTGAAGGCTTATTTCCTGGCAGACTGCAGAATTTCTAGGCATTTTTGTAGGGCTTTCATTAATTATGGTTTTTGAAACTTCTGTATCTGCATGATACTGAGATCTTTCAGTTTTCATTTAAGGTGGATTGAGAACTGGCTGACTAGGAGAGCTCAAATGGTTGTGATCAGCAGCACAGAGGCTTGTTGGAGGACTGTAACTGGTAGTGTTACACAGGGATTGATACTGTGTCTGGTCTCTTTCAACATCTTCATCAGTGACCTGATGGGTGAAGGAATGGAGTGCACCCTCAGCAAATTTGCTGATGATCCAAAGCTGGGAGAAGTGACTGACACACCAGAGGGATGTGCTGCCATACAGTGAGACCTGAATGGGCTGGAGAGTTGGGTGGAGAGACCTGATGAGTTTCAACAAGGGCAAGTGTAGAATTCTCCACATAGGAGGAATAACAATGTGCATCTGAAAGGTTAGGGGCTTATCTGCTGGAAAGGAGCTCTGAACAGAAGGACCCAGGTGTCCTGGTGGACAACAGGTTGACCATGAGCCTGTGTTGTGCCCTTGTGGCCAAGAAGGCCAATGATATCCTGGGGTGCATTCAAAAGAGTATAGCCAGTAGGTCAATGGAAGTGATCGTCCCCCTCTACTCTGCCCTGGTGAGGCCACATCTGGAGTACTGTGTCCAGTTCTGGGCTCCACAATTCAGGAAAGACAGGGAACTACTGGAGAGAGGAGAGCCACAAAGATGACGAGGGGCCTGGAGAAGAGAAGACTGAGAGGGGATCTTATCAGTGTGTATAAATACCGAAGGCCAGGTATCAGTGCATGGGGCCAATTTCTTTTTTGGTGATACTCGGTGGCAGGACAAAGGACAGTGGGCACAGGAAGTTGAACATAAGAAAAAACTTCTGCCCAGGGAGATTGAGGAGTCGTCTTCTGTAGGGATATTCAAGACCAGTCTGGATACTTTCCTTTGCAACCTAAACTGTAGAGATCCTACTTTAGCAGAGGAGTTGGTCTAGGTGGTCTCCAGAGGTCACTTGTAAGCCCTGCAGTGTTAGGAGTCATAAGTGTAAGTGTAGCAGCTGTTGTGCCTGCTTGTAAAATAATGCTTAGTGTTTATATCGTTTATTGACGGTATATTCTAGTGCTGAAGTAACACATAACTATTACTTCTTAATACAAAGAAAATCCTTCTGAAACATTCCTTGATTCATGGCAAAAAAGACAAGGAATTTTAATGTGCATCTTACCGAGAAGTCAGGTTCACAGTAATTTGAGCAAATGTTAATATCTGCTTGGGGTTCTCGCTGAGGTAAATACAATAGTTGTCTTTAAGACAGCTATTGTATTTAAGAGAAGTATTTCAGTGTGACTGTCTGAATTTCATTCCTGAAAAAATAAGTAAGTGGAAGGGGATATCAAAACTACACTCAAGTAATTTTGTTGATCACTCTTATTCCACTTTTTTGTAAATAAAAACATTGTGTGAAATTAGCTAATAGTATTGCAGTTTAGAAAGTTATTTTTTTTTTTTAGCAATGCCTGAAGTTGGAAGACTTCTAGGAATTGATTCCTGAAGTGAGGTAGTTGTCATTTCAGCAGAGAAGTCTCTATCTTGTGTCACATGACACAATCTTGTGTCAGATTGTGGTTGACAGTGTGGGTGTTCAGTTGTGTGAGTTAACTGTTAAAAATCTTTGTTCTTTTTATTGATAAATGATTGTCTTTCATATACAGAAAGAAGAAATATCCTGATTTGTTTAAGTGGTTTTGCATAGAAACATTAGAAGTTTGTTGCCCACCTGGAACTTATGGACCAGATTGCCTTGGTAATTTTTCTTTTGAAGCATATAGTCACAGATGTTTTCTTTTTCACTTGTTTGTTTCATTTCTCCATTTAATAATATGGACATATGAAGTATGACATTTGGCTGCTGAGTAGCAGCTGCTGAGTAGTAAGTCTGTTGTTTAGGTACCATTTCAGAAGTTTGTAGAGAACTCGACTGAGTTCAAGACAAATCAGCCGAGACAGTACTGGGGATTAAATGAAAAAAAATCATAAATAAGGATAAGTTAAAAAGGGAGTGGCAGAAATAGGTGGGAACATGATTGGATCAAAGCAAGGTCTATGATACAAGAGAAAGAGTTTTGGCCACTGTATGGTTTATAAATCAGTAAAACTTTCCATGTTGTTGGAGGTCAGCTTTGGCCTCAT